TCTGCTAAAGCTTGTCCGTAAATATCAGGCTTCTAGACAGAGTATGTAGTAACAAACTGACCCTCTAGGGGGCAGTGCCACTTTTGATGGGAGATGAGCATAGACTGTAGGCAAATAAGAAAAAGGTAACGGTTCGCTATGAGAGAACATGTTGCCGGTGAGACGCAAGTCGAGGAAGAACGGAATAAGGTAGAAACACATTTTTTTTTCCTGATGAAAGAAGAGAGTCTACTCTTTCTTTTGGTGTGTTCGGTGTTTACATAGTCATAGCACAAACTATTCTGTGGCTCTTGAAAAATCAAAAGTCAAAATGCTCAAAAAACTCTGGCAGTATGGGACTCTCTGTTCTGAAAATGGCTGCCAGTCAATGAGTTAAGGGCTGGAACGTGAGCAGAATGTGGAGGAAGTGGTGCAACGAAAATGAAACCAGGAAGTAAGAAACAACCCCAGAGGTCCAACTCAAGGGTTTTTAATGTCTACTCATTAAAAATAAAAAATTATATATACCTCCTTGATTCCATTAAAAATGTCTATCTATGGTCTTTTCTCTCAACCAGAATGTGCCCAACAACACGGCAAATTTTTGTGGAAAATATTTCCAGCGTTTGAGGAATTTATAATTAAGATTTTGGCAGGGCAAGGCCAGCCAAAGGAAGCAGTAAACACAAACAACGTTCAACACACAGGTACAAACTCCACTCTCCAAAAAAAACTATATAAATAAATAGGGAGGAAAACAGGTCCAAACACAGAGACCCCCGAAACCGGTCGGTTCCGGTTTGGAGCCCGGAGCCCCTAAACCTCCCACCAAAGTGTGGGCACACAAAAGTGAATCGATTAGGAGGAAGTCTCCAAATAAAAGGACAGCAAAAATCAATCGCATTCCAGCTTACTGACTCTGCTCTTTAGCATTTTTGAGGACGTCTCGCTCCGCTGGCTCCTCAAGGCCGGCGCCTCCATCGGAGGAACATTTTAAGAATGCCCGATGAAAGAAAATTCATTTGATATGGCCTTTCTGCAGGGGGGGGGGCACTCAAACCGAATCAATTTGGTTTCCGTCTGTGCGTTTCAGCTATTTTCAGACCGAAAAAGCAGCTTTTATTTCACCCTCCCACCCGTCCTCCTCTCCTCGAGTCGGCCAACGCACGCAATTATTTTAAGCCTCCCTCGTTTTTTAACGTTCTCATCCGTCCAGAAGCGTCGTGGAGCAGGAAGCCCCAGTAAAAGGCGTCGGAGGGAGGGGAAAAAAAACAGGAACTCCAGCTAACAGATGGTCCGCGCGGAACAGAGTCGAAATTCAAAGGAAAAGTCATCTTAATTTTTATCTATTTCAAAACTTTTTTTTGTGTGTGCGTGTGCTCTTTTTCTTATGACTTTTTCTTATTGCCTGGGAGTGATCGGAGGTC